CCCTCCCTCCCTCTCTCCCTCCTCATTCCTCCATCCCTACCTGAGCTGGTGAGGAGCAAATGTTCAGTTCATCCTCAGCTACCTCCTCCCTTGCAGCGTCTCGCGCGACGCCACGCTCCTCCGCGTCGTTCTCGTCAGCTCCTGAGAGGGAACGGATGAGAGGAGAAGGGACTGCGAGCATGTGAAGGGGGGGAGAAGGAAGGAGGACAAGGAATTCCTGTTCTACCGGAGCAGGAGCAGGAGCAGGAGCAGGAGCAGGGGCAAGGGCAGGGGCAGGAACAGGAGGAGCAGGAGCAGGAGCAGGAGGAGCAGGAGGAGCAGGAGGAGCAGGAGCAGGAGCAGGAGCAGGAGCAGCAGGAGAAGGGCAGCAAGGAAAGGTGAAGGGCGGGGAGCCATGAATGCTCGACAAGCAACAAGTGACGTCGAAGTTGGACTTGAACGAAGGGCGGAGGGAGGCAGAGAACAGGAGGAGAGGAGAGGAGGAGGAGGGGAAGCTACCTTCTTCATTATGCTGCTCCCGCTGCCTCCTTTCCATCTGAGAGCAGCGGTAACTATCCCAGCGGTAACTATCCCTCCTCCTCCGCTCCCTCTTCCTCCGCTCCCGTGCTCTCATCTCACCCGTACTTGCGGAATCCGAAGAAGTAACACCACATGAGCAGAAGCAAGCCTGACCACCGTCAGAGCCAAACTTGATGCTTAACCAAACCAAAACTCTCCCCCTGCCCTGCCCTGCCCTGCCCTGCCCTCCTCCCTTCCCTTCCCTTCCTCCCCTCCCCTTCCTCCTCTGCCCTCCCCTCCCCTCCCCTCCCTCCCCTCCATCCGTCTGCCAGTCTTGTCTCATCTCTTGCCCTCTCCATTCTCCTTTTCACTTGTCACCTGCTACTCCTCCTGAGATGGCGAAGGCAATGATTTGCAACATGGTGGCTCCTGTTTGCTCCAAGTCAGACTGCTGCAACATCATCATCACTATCATTATCATCCCTATAATCATCGCTACCCCCATCATCACCGTCAGATCAACAACATCGTTTCCTCCTCAGCTTTCTTCATCCTTACCTGATTTCCCCGAGCTGCTCGCTTCAGCGCTTGAGTTTGTCGTCTATCAGCATGGCCATGAGTGAGACTATTCACCTTCATGCTCCTCCTACCATCAGCATCTCCACAACGGTCGTCGAGATGCTTGCTGCAGCCTGCGAGTCACTGCCAACGCTGCATGCCAGCAGTCAGTACAAGCTATCATCATCATCATCATCATCATCATCATCATCATCATCAGCAGCAGCAGCAGCAGCAGCAGCAGCCTCGTCCTCTCCGCACCTTGTGGTTGTAGTCACAAAGTCCCACGAGGTGTTGGACAGCAAAGTCCTATAGACTTGTCAGCGACAGCAGCAAACATATTCCTCCTCACATCACAGTAGTGTTATCATACGACGACATGGTCGCGTTTCCTGCCGTGTCGTTCATGGCTCAAAACTTCTTCTCCTGCCATCATCATCATTGTCATCATCACGCATGCAGCTGCTCCTGTCAGCACCTTGACCGTTCTGCTGTATAAGTTCGACCCTAGCTCTCTTCAATGCCCTCGGACAAGCATCTTGACCACTTCGCCTGCGCGTGAGAAATGAGCGACAACACTGGTAGGGAAGGGGATGGGAATCATAGCAAGAGAAAGTCATGTTGCAAGCATCCGCAGCGTGTCTTTCTCACTGTCGCTAATTTGCTCTCACTTTCTGCTCGAACTTTGTTGACACGAAGTTAAAAGCTACAACGAATTCAAGAACGAGGAAAAATCGAAAGCGTTGTATCAGCCAGTCAGACATCACTCCTTGCATCAGTGTTTCCAGCATACTCTGCACTTTCCTCACGCCTCCTTCTCATGTTCGCCTCCTCGTGCCTTGACCAAAACAACGTAAAGGTTATCGGATCACAACGAGGACCCAAACCAAGTGATCCTCGGTATGCTTCGCCTCCTCCATGTCGTTTCTGCTCCCTCCCCCCTCTTACTCGCTCTCCCTCTCCCTCTCCCTCTCCCCTCCTCCTGCATATTCTCCTTCCTTCCCCCATTCCCGCGCTTCCATGGCTCAGCATTCCTGTTACCCGAGGCGGGGCAATTTTTTAAAATACTTGTACATGGACCTAAATTGTTTTAAAATAAGTGCAAAAACTGACGATAGGTCGAAAGTGTTTGACTGTAACCGAATATATCCATGCTTATTTGAAATTAAGACAACACTTTTCGTTTACAATGTAGAACTTAGAACATATTTAAAAAAAAATTTGCAGAGGTCTGTAACGGCATGTAACGGTGTCCCGAAATAGATCCTACCGGTCGCGAACTCTCCTGGAGGTACAGTTTGTGCCCATGGAACTGCATGGCGGGGGCGACCGGACGCGATCCCAAGGGGAACATGGCGAACGCATGCTGCTGCTGCTGACTATTCTGAAAGCGTTCCTCCTTCCCCATTTGACCTGGAACAGCTGGAATGTTCAACACAACGAACAAGCGATCATTTTTGTATCTCTTCATTCAATATTGAAACATTCTTGTATGAGACATTATAATCCTGCCGGCATAGAACACTCGCTGGCGGTTGTCATCTATGTACACTTTGAGCTCGGCAAGCTTTCACACACTCGAGCTTGGGTGGAGTCTTTCTGCCTCTCCTATCTCACACTTTGGCTCAATCTCTTACTCCTCAGGGTCTGCAGTCTATCAGTTCCGGGAGCCTCGGCCTCTAGCTCGACATCTTCGGCTGCGTTCAAGGAGAACTCGCCGTGGCCTTCAGGCATATCGAGAGGGATGGAGATCAAGTCGTCGGTGAAACCCTCCATGATGTCCAGGTCATCAAAGAAAGACAGATCAAGGTCAAAGTCAAAGTCTTCCAGGCCAATCACGACGTCAGCAGCTCCTCCAAGGTGAAGCAGCTGCTTCTTGACGTACTTGACAATCCTCTCCCTCCGGTGCACGAGGGAATGGGAGCACATACTCTTCCAGTCCATCGCCTTGCTCTGCTTCTGTTGCAGCCCCTCCATCTTTGAGCGCTTCCACGCTTGCACCTCTCTTCTCAGCTCTCGGCTGACGTCTGCCACCTCCAACTTGCAGCAGGCGAAGTCCATCTGCTCGAACAGCAGCTCGGCTTCTTCAGCCTTGAGCTTTCGGTGCAGCTGCCACAGGACTGCCCGGGCGTCACAGAGGGCTTCGAGGATGCTGTCCGTGCTCCTGGAGAGGGGAGACCAACCGCCGGCCCACACCTTGTAGCCCTTGTCGACCACCTTGAGGGCTTCATCGATCCTCCTGCCCCCCTTCCACTGGAACGTCCTTAGCCTGAAGTGCTCGGCACGCTTCTTCTTCTCGTACTCAGCTCGCTCGCTCTCGTCCCGGTGCTGCTTCACGCTCTTCGCAAGCTTCTTCGCTCGTTCCTGGTCGTAATTGAGCCTCTCCTTCTCCAGCGCGTGCGAGGAGGAGGCGATGGCGTCAGCGAGGTCTATCGCCATGCCTATCTCCTTCTTCAACGTTGACCTCTCAGGCTCTTTGAAGCACGGCAGGAACTCGATGTCTTCCACGAGCTTCGCCACCTTGAGCGACAGCAACCACAGGACCTCTCTGTCTGCATGCGGCTGGTACAAGAGGCGCACGATGTGATTGAGCTTGACGGAGAGCCTCCTGACGGCCTCCTGCCTCGATCTGATCATGGCATGCCTCGTCAGCAGCGAGGCCCTCGTCTCAATCCTCGCCAGCGCTCGCAGATAGTCATCGCTGCTGAAATCTGACTTCTCCACCTCCTGCAGCAGTTTCGAGGCGGAAGCTCGAAGGTCGACCCAGCTCTTGACTAGCTGCTTCTGAAAGGCCTTTTCATCACATGTAAGAGGCATCTCCCCGTACGTTATCAGCCGACCGTAAACGTTCTTGAAGTTCCCAGCGTCAGGCTTGACTCGAGCTCCAAACATGAAGGATGGAACCACCAACCCCTTGTCGTCTCGCTTCTTTTTCTTACGTGCAGAGACAGACGGAATTAAACAAGACGCAAACATCGCATTCGCTAGAAGAAAAAAGCAGATGCCGCAGAGGAAGAAGCGTTCGTCCAGTGATGCGGATGAAGACCAGATGATGATATGTGTTCCACACAAGGAGAAACTTGATATCAGAAGAACAACGAGAGGGCAGAGGGCGGAGTGAGGAGGAGGAGGAGGAGGAGGAGCAGGATCAGGAGGAGGAGGAGGAGGAGGGAGGAGGAGTCTCGGGAGCAGGATGAAGAGCAGGAGGAGGAGGACGGTGGGGGGTCACCGGGTCATGTTATGTCACATAGGCGGATCTACGTCCAGAGGAGAAGGAGGGGGGGTCCTTGATTTTTGCTATCATAAGAGATAGGGAGTAGGGGTAGTACAAGGTAGATGATGGGGTGGGGTCGTTGAGAAGGAATCAAGAGGAGGGGGTGGGGTGGTATACCGTGGACCCGGAAGGCAGTTGGGAGGCAGGCGGAAGAGCCCGACGTGAGCCTACTGAGTAGTGACGCAGAAAAAAATCTCAGTGAGTGAGTGAGCGGCTGAAGGCCCGGCCCGGCCGGCCCGCGACCGGCCCGGTGGCCTGGCCTCCGACGTCACGGGTTTCTTGACCTGAAGTTCAGTGTGAAGTTTCTCGACCAACCGGCGGGTGTCAGGCGGTCCGGGCCGGGCCCGGGCGCGGCCGACCCGCGGCGGGCCGCCGGGCCGCGCTCAGGCCCAGGGGTCCGGTACACCTGAGTGCAGGGTCAGAGTACCCCTGCGTTCCTCTATGAATTAGAGGGACCCTACCCCTGTGGGATCCTCCTGAAAGCGACCCAACCATGCCTTCTCTGCCTACGATGCAGGCCGCTGGTGTAGAAGAGCAGGAGGAGCAGGAGGAGCAGGAGGAGGAGGAGGAGGAGCAGGAGGAGCAGGAGGAGCAGGAGGAGCAGGAGGAGCAGGAGGAGGAGCAGGAGCAGGTTATGCAGGGAATTTGTATGTGGTTGAATAGAAGGGTCCTTCATACCCTTGAATGGGAGGAAAAACGGAAGTAAGCTGAAGAGGTCTACCAGGATGGCAGAATGAAGGAGGCAGCGGGAATAATGAGGCAGGAAGAGGAGGAACAAGGAACAGGGACGAGGAGGAGGGACAGTATATGGAGATCTGCAGCAGGAGCAGTGTGACAAGGGAGCAAGCAGTCTATGGAGTGCGAGGATGTGATCCAGCAACAAGAGGATGTGATGTAGCGCCAGGGGCAAGGAGAGATTGTAACTAGAGACGAGGGTAGGACGGGGATGGGTCTGTAGAGATCAGAGAAGGAAATGAATGTGAAGCGCAGGATCAAAACAGAGCTGACAGTGACCGGTGAAGTTCCAAGGCGGTGGGTGTGAAGGTACACGCAATGTCGGTGAAGGAGCATCTACTTCGACTCATCCTGACGGTGACAGTGATTGAGACGACTTGATATGTTCTGACATCTCTTGTCTGATGCTTCCAGCTCCTCTTCTGTGCTACCGCCTCGCCTTCGCAAGGGATGTGTGGTTGTCCGGCAGAGCTTCCTCTGTTGCCTCTGCGCCTGCGGGGAGGCAAGCAAGGGTTCACTACAGGAGAGGATGCTGTGCTGCAAGCTCTTCAGAACATGCCACTTGAAGAGGCGCACAAGTCGATCGAGAGCATCGTGAAGGAGAAGGTGAAGATGAGCCCGAACCTCCGCCTTCCTCCTCCCTCGCTTCCTCCTCCCTTGCTTTCTTCTCCTCCTCGCTCTCTCCTCCCTCGCTTCCTCCTCCCCCGCCTCCTC